AGTGGCAAGGTGAAGCAGACGTGAATCCAATCTTCCTCAAAAAAATTTAGGGAAATGGCATCTGCCTTGTAGAACGAACCACCAGGATATCACCCACAGGTAGGTTCTCGGAATCCACATAGAATTGAGCCTTCCGTACGTGTGTTCCAATTTGTCAGCATATAAATGCAGTGTTTATTAACCCAAACTGTAGTTACCTCGTCCAGGATGAATTGCCTCCAAATCATTCTGCCATTGGCACCCGAGGAATTGAGTAGGTCCTTGATATCGCGGACAATGTCCAATGTTGACTTTGATCCTTTGTTTGCCCAAAGACGACGCTTCACATTTAGCACAGGGTCGTTTGCGGACAAAAAAGCATGCACAAACTCCTTTGGATATATTCGTGGTTTGTGGTCCTCTAGAGTTTGACATATTGAGACTGTCATGCGGGTTATGTAAGGCCGAGACTGAATACTGCACTCTCTTTGCTTCATGTTTATCCAGGCTTTGGTGTTGAGATGATCAAAGTTTGTGTGGGGATGATCAAAGGTTGGGAAATGGCTAAATAAAGTTAAATGACTGCAACTTTAAAAAATTGCTTGCACACTCATTGATCACACCTGTTCAGGCATTTCTTCGGATTCTCACTGGAAACCTAATGATCAAAAATTTTCATGCAGACCATTTCTAGCTCAGCTTTGCGTGGGATGGGCGACCGAGCGGCGGCCACGCACCATGCGCAATTAGGCGCGCATTTGTGGGTACTTAATTTTATGTTAGGATGCTCAAAAGTTTTGAAACTCGAATTAGATGAAATTTTCTTGCAACGCGGGTCTGACATATTAAGTCGTAGTGAGGCCCACATTTACAAGAGCTCCTTGGAGCGACTTCACTCAAGGGAAGTGGTGCTGGAAGTGACACGTGCTTGTGTAGAAGGCTCAGCAGAGGCACTCCTGAATTTCATGCAACCTTTTACGATGTTTAAAGCCCTCACAAAGGGATTTCAAGCAAAAGTGCTCGAAATTCCTGCTGGTCTCAGGCCAAGCTCGGGGTGTATGCCCTAAGCCCCTCTTCGAGAGCGGACGTGGCCGCGTCGGAAGAGGGGCTTATGTTAAGCTTAAGAGAAAGCAGATTTCATGGTCGCAGCTTCTGATTGCAATTACAAAGATGCTACCAATGCATATTTACACGCCGGACCCCATTGCCTTATGGACAAACGAGATTGTAGGACTGGCTGATTCAAGATAACCTTCTTGTCTTTCTATGAGCTGGAATAAGTATTTACATCATACACAGACCATCGTATTACACTTTGTGTGCCACAAAAAGCAGCGGCGAATCTTACGCGACAGAGTATCGATCGATCGATCGCGCTCTCTTAGGAAAGGGCTGGGGGCATACCTGGAGGGAGTTTTCGAGAAATCGGCGACTAGACTAGCGAATGCTCGCGAGCTATTTCGTATAAGCACGGTGTAGTAACGAGAGCTTAAAACGGAAGTATTTGCTAAACTAATATCAGGCTTTGACCTACACGGATAAGACGAAACACTGCTTGGGCATCTGGCTCATCTGGGTTCCTGACCTAAACCGATGGCATCCAGTCAACCATTCGATCTGATATTCTGGGGGCCAAGATAAACAAGTTTATTGTGTTACACTCTTCCGCCAACTAAGGAGACAGAGGAGTTATGAGAAAGCATATGCTTAGACAGCATGGCCAGTCCTGGCGGATCTGAAAGCAACTCTGTACTGTATTTACAGCTTTGTCACCGGTCGTCCCATGCGTCTCTCTCACCCTGTCAACTGGCTGAGACCTTGACGAGACTGGCTGGTGAGTGTCTCGATCTTTAGTGGTCCCCTTGTTTCTCCTCCATCTACTTTTTTTCACGCGGTGGGAGTATACGCCGGTCTACAGGCCTGACCTAGCGTGAGCAATGCTTCGTGTTTATGATTGGCCCCTTTCTTGTTCGATGAGCGAGACAAGCGGGTGGAAAGAAACACGGACCTAGCGCTGATTGATGGTATAAAAGTAGACCTCGGCCTGGCTGTAACATAGCCCACCCCCCTCGTCCTGTTCGACAGTCTGTTTCGGATCGTACAGTCTTTCTGCGTGAGAAAACCACCGTCGCACTGCCCTTTTGCTCTGAGGCCGTGCTGAAATCATCCAGTGCTTTCGTTCCACAGGCGGATTTAGAATTTCATCCATTAATTATTCGACGCTGTGCCAGGCCTGACCTTTACATAATCTCTATAATAAGGAACAAAGCACAGGCTTCAGGTCCCGCTGTTATCAATACTCATCTCCGTGTTGGCAGATTGCTATCGACATATATATATATCTACATATAGATTCCTCATCCTTATTTTTCGCGTGCAATCTCCATCAATTCTTGCTTGACTCAACCCGCTCGGCTTCAATTCGCCTTTCAACATCGCCTTCAACGTCTTTTGGTCTCTAATTGAGCTCACAATGTACGTTTCAGGATGTTATTGCTTCACTTTTTAATCTCACCTCTCAGAACGAATCATGGCCCTCTTCGGTTTTCTCAGAAGAGTAGTCAGTGAAAGCGGTTCTCGTCTTTCCGACTTGTCGTCGACCGCGTCGGACAATCTCAACCCCTGCTCTGACATACTCAAAGTTAGACAAGCTTCTTCACTCGGGTGTTTGACCGCTGTACATATCAGAGCTCCACAGATCATCCCGTTGACATCGAAATGTCTATCCGCTGAGCCATCCTGGCTCAACTCCGTGCGGCTTTATAGTCATCATTGCACACTTGTCGCCGGCGGGTATCAAGCTCCCTGCGACACAGACTATAGCTCTTTTATTCCAGATCCACTATGATACCCTCCACACCTTTCACGCAATCGTCATTATATGACTTCTTTCTGCTTCCCTATGCTACGCAACGTACTAACACATACTCATCTCGCGCTGCTAAAGGTGTCACCAATCGCACAACACTGAAAATTCAGCACTCAGCCCAATGATCCGGCTGGTCAATCGAGCCAAGTCAGCTAGCGGCACCGTACATTGGGTATGTTACCTATTACGCCCTTTTTTACTCAGAAGTATAGCTGATATCGGCCTCGTAAAATTTCTTCCGCAGACGTGCCCATTCTGGTTAGCATTTCCGTTTTCTCTTTCGATCCATGACCATCCTTACTTACTACCCTGACGTTCGTACCTCAGCAAATTAAAGTCCTTCACCAGCTGGGAGGCCTTGAACCGACACACCACCAATTGTTGGCCTAAAGCTTGAACACAAATGTCGTCCCTTGTCGGCGGCCTCGTTGGTCAAGATTTTGCATAGTCCATCGTTTCTTACGAAACTCCTACACCCGCCTTTTTCGCTGTGAAGAACGAACACACAAGAAATGCACCTATATTCCACAATTTATATTATGCATATGTCGTCTCTTGCGCACTAACCCGCACAAAATACCTAATAGCTACCATGGTGGCCTAATATTTTACAATTGTAATCAAGTTTTAATTTTTTAGAGTGAAAATTTCATATGGCGATTAGCTGTTGCGCCTAATTTGCGTAGATCAACCTATCTTTTTGATGTTGCCCCCAACCCACTCATCTTCGTGGCTGTCAAATCGTACTTGTTTTTGTCTCCAATTCATTTCCCTACGACAACACGATGAATACATTCATATATTTTGTATATACTAGTCTCTTTATGCTCCATAAGCCTCTGAAAAATTTCATCAACTTGTTTTTCTCCTTGTTCCTACATTGAAATCCTCTCTTGCTGTTGTGAACTTGATTGATAGATTTTTGGAAACTTTTAGTATAATGATAGAAAAACTTTCCATGGTTCCACTCAAGTGATAAAGATGTGCCCAGGCTTGGCTCCCAGGGGAAGCTTCCAATTGTGACAAACAAGCCAAAAGGTACAGCCAACCCCCATGTTCGTATGGTAGTAGCACATTGGAAAGTGCACACAAACGTCCTGTCTGCCTCAAATGCATTATGTGTGTGCTCATTCAAGAGAACAGCCACACAGATATGGTGGCGTAAGCTAAACAGCATGTTGACAAATTTGAGAGTCTCAATATGTTTGAATCAGATCTTACAACAATCATAAAAGGCATTTTTTCCTTCCTGACACAGGTGTAATCAAGACATGTGTATCTTGAAGCACATAACACAGCTGGCACTCAGCATACAAGGTAGAAAGTTGAGATTTGATTGAAAGATATATAGGTAGTGGAGCAAGCCACTGTGCATTTTCCCTAGTACCAGTAGATAGCAGTAGTATCTTTAAACAGGGTGGCTGGATAGTCAATTGTGAATTTCAATGAAGAGTGAACCCATGGATTGAGATATGAAATGGGAACCAGTCTAGTCTCAACCACAGCCCAGCCCAGGGCTCAAATTTAGAGCTCTCCAGTATCTAATAGGGCGGTTCAAGAAGGCTTTTACAGCCCTTTTTTATAATTTACATTTTGTTCAGGCTCCATAAATTTTAAGTAAAATTTGAAGGTTGTGAACCATCTTTAGAGGTGGTTCACGGTTTTGCAATCTTGTAATTGGCCTTAAATTTTTTAAATCCTGTCCCTGAATTTTCAAAAGACAGGGACAATTGAGCCAAAAAAAGTTTCCTTCCATTCTTTGTTTTTTTTGTTCCTGGATTCTAATGATATTTGGTCAAGAAAGGACCTTTTTTTCTCGAGGGCTTCCTCTTTTATTAACAAAAATTCTGTACAAAAACACAAGAAAACAAAAATGAAAACAAGGCCAAATAAAAATGGTTTGGACAGTGTTCCTGAATTTACAAAGCTGTAAAACACAAGTTTAGAGCATCCGTCACTTTGCAATCAAGCTTTTTAAGGATTGAGCAACCCTAAAAAGGCTGATTGCAACTCGGCAACCACGTGGCTCGCAGATCTCTTCTTGAACCGCCCTAATACTAACAATGGGTTTTTGTGTACTTAAATTGACTTGGGCATACTTGAGTACTTGGATATGAGTTAAGTAATTAAGTACTTAATATTAGGCAACCTAGCTACCTGGACCCAAATATTCAGATTCTGTTTTTTTTGAAAAAAAATGGCCTGTCAGATTGAATTTCTAGATTATTTCTGACACATACATCATGAAATCAGCCCAAATATTTTATATTACATGATGTTGTGAATGATGTTGGAGTCTTGGAATAAGGATCTGGTAGTATGCACTACTGCTCTGATAAGCACAACCTCAAAACAAAGAATCTGATAGAAAGGACCTCTGAACTATAACAAAGATGAATCAATCAGATAATGAAAGAAGAGATTTAATGGGATAGAAAGAAATAACAATTGGTACCTATAAGTTGGTACAGAGTAACAATGATCTGATTAGTATAAGTTATTGGATACAAGATAATTGAACTTTGTGTCTATAAGAGGACTGTTCTACTCTGTAAAAACAACACACAGAATCTTATGTCAATAACAAATAACATCTAAAGAAATGAAAATAAGATTGATAGAAAAATTACCCACTTCTCTTTCCCAAAGATGAGGAAAGAGAAGTAGGTTGATTTCAGAGACAACAACTATATGTAGTAAATGATCTTAACACATTGGGGCAATTGGCAACTGATGTATCCTCTTTTCTTGAAAACGATTTTTGCATTTCACCTCTTTTTGGATCACTTATGTATATTGTTCATTTAATCTAGCGTAAGTCTTAATCTCTTTAACTTTGTCAATTGAATACTTCAACACCCCCCTCAATCAACACAATCAAAATATCTCTAGTCAAAAATTTGTTTATAACCAATATGCTCTCTAAAATGGTTAAAAGGCCCCGTATGAAGAGTTTTAGTCAAGATATCCGCCAACATGTCCTCAGAAGCACAATACACCAATTTACTACCACCTTCCTTCACCTTTTATTGTAACCAATGATGATGCATTTCAATTGCTTTTGTCCTTCCATGCATTACTGCATTTGCTGATATATCAATTGCACTCAAGCTATCTGAATTCAGTAAGTAAGGAGTTCCTTGAGGTAAGTCTATTGACACAAGTAATCTCGCTAACCATATCATTTCATCTCCAGCTTCATTTGCCGCCCTAAACTCAGCTTCTGTAGCTGATTTAGCAACCGTTTGTTGTAACCAACTTCTCCAACTCATAGCTCCTCCCCACAACATAAAAATGTAGCCCAAGTCAATCTTCCTGTGCTTCTATCACCTTTCCAATTGGAATCAGCAAAATGTTCAGGTAAAGAAAATCCGCTGTTACTTGAGATTGATGGTAAAGCATTTTATTGAGGCAACAAGACTGGTTTCTTGTAATGTATGCAGTAATTTAGAGTTCCTTTTAAATATCTGAGTATATGTTTAAATAATTCCCAATGTCGCAATGACAGGTTCTCAAGATGTTGTGATTGACAACCCACCACATATGTAAGGAAACCACTATTTACCGCCCGGAACGAAAAAACCCAACACCCCCATGCCGGATACTGCCCGGGCTGTAAACATGTTGCTGCCTGGTATTTCTTTCTTGCCAAACTTTTCATTGTTCTATCTTTTTTTCGTTATCTCTCTCCTCTCACAGAATGCTTCTGAACACGCTTTTCCATAGCAAATTTGTGTAATTTTTTTTGATTGTATTGATAGACTGCTACGTACGGATCAGGAATCAAGGAGAAGTAGCTGCATTCTCTTGAATACGATTCAAATTCATAAGAGCAACAAAATTCATAAGTGGTGAAGACACAAGACAGACAAAAATTGACAAATAGGTTGAATCCAAACTAAAACCTGAGGATTTTCCAAGAGTTCCAAGAGAAAGCTGGAGAACACAGAACTGAGGAAATAGGTAGTTATGGATCTACCTCGAGAAAGAAGATGTTTGAACCATAGGTTTCAAGATCAAGATTGATCTCCAGTCCATTCCAAACAAATTATTCATGTGCTGAGAAGATCAATCCGAGCTTGTCATAGTTGCTATTTGATTGTCATGACTTCAGGATCATACTGAAACTAAATGCTAGTGGTTGACAGTGAACAACCCAATCATCTTTTCTCATTTTCATTTTGATTTTGTTTCTTTTCACTTTCTTCAACTTCTTTAGCATCCTAGATTAGAATTACTTATCCCATTTAAATCTGAATTGTTTATTTGTTTTGTATGAGAATCGGATCAATTGATGTCTTTGAATCAGTCGCCGATGCGTTGGATGACCATGCCAATTCAATAGAACGTGTTGCCACCGGTTTGGGTGAATTAGACACAGCAGTCACACAAATTGAAAGCTTTCTCTGAACAGGAGATGCACTTAAGATCCAAGAAAAAATGAGAGAGCAACAAATCATGATATTGATTGAATGGGATCCAAGAGATGAATTGTTCAGTAGATAAAACAGTTGACACATTGGTTACAGTCTGAGTTGTATGGGTTTTCAAACAGCTGAGAGTCGCGAGGTTTTGAGAGTGGAAAAGTTCTCAACATCAAGAACGTTTGTGGTAGTGAGGCTTGGTGGTTGGTTTTGTGGTGATTAGTTTGGTTGGCTTTGCGGTGGTTAGTTAGATGGATGGACAAGTTTGGTGAAGTAGCCAAGTTCATTATTGTGATGCTGCCCCCTGGTGAAGGTGATAAATTGTGATAAATAGCCCGGTATTGTAATTGAGGGCTATATCAGGCTATATCGCCCCCACTAAGTGCCCGGTCTACTGCCCGTCGGGGCCATTTATAGCCTAGATTTTCGGGTCCTGCTTGGGTATCTACGGGTATCACCTCAAAAAAAGGGGGCGTCAGGTTTTTCCACCCGGGCGGTAAATAGTGGTTTCAATATGTAATATCAGGCCTTGTACACTGTGACAAGTACATAAGACTGCCTACTCCGCTCCTATAAGGTATATTTAATAAGCTAAAAGACCTTGCTTCATCCGGTGTTGATTTCAAAAGTTTTGTGCCGCCTGCAAAAGGGGTTGAAGCTGCCTTGGCATCAGTCATATCAAAATGTTTGAGTAACAATCTTGCCATAGCTTCTTGTCCTAATATGTAATGATTTGGACCAGCTTGAGCTATCTGGACTACTACACATGTGGAAATCCCCATATTGTCCATTGGCCAAAATCCACCGATTTTGTTCTTGAAGTCATTGATATTTATGGGATACAAAGTTAAAACTGGGATATTTTTCCCAGTTTCCCAGTTTCCCAAATACAGCCAAAAACGCAAACTGGGAAACGGGGAGAACGTGGGAAAGTTCCAAACACAGCCAAAAACAAAAACTGGGAAACTGGGAAAAAACTCCCAGTTTTAACTTTTTATCCCACAATTGTTACTGGTGATTGCTAAATCATTGATGTGGGGGTAAAATATATAAAAATCATGGGATCATCTCCTAATATACACACATTCATCAGCAGGTGATTGTTCAAAGTCGGCATTCAAACATTTTGATTTAAAATCTTCATTCCATTCTCTTGCCAATTGTTTCAATTTGTAAAAAGCTTGAAGCAATTCACATACCAGATCATTGTAAATGGCTAAGAAGACCTGTTAAAACCAGTGCTAATATGAGCACTCTTCTCTCCACGTCTAAGGTATGCAGACCTTCGACTAACCTGAAATTGTGGGAGGTAAAGATATGATGAGAAACAATAATAAAGAAGCCTTTAATAAAGATAATGATCTGATCTATACGGAAGTTTCTCTTTCCATAAAGATTGGAATTGTATTTCAAAGCTAACCTGTTAAAACCAGTGCTAATATGAGCACTCTTCTCTCCACGTCTAAGGTATGCAGACCTTTGACTAACCTAAGTAAATAGAGTGAAAAAGAATAAGAGAAAGAAAAACGAGATGAGCTTTTAGAGAAAGTG